GGAAAATCCCAACTAAGAACGGCTTGCCAATAAACGTTACATTGAAAATGATTATTTTGGCATTTGCATTTAGTATTTCCAATAGAATATTCATATCGATTGAGCTAGTAAGGAATATCCCTTAATATAGAGGGGGCCAAAGACTATTTGGTTTAAGCAATATTTCACTAAATACGTGATATTTATTTTTGTAATTTAAGCTCTGTTCAAATGGTATTAGCATCAATAATTCGATGTTTTTAATTTAACTTTTTATTTATTTTTATTGCTTAGTTGGATGGACGAGCTTACAGCACACCCGGTATTAAGTGGTTACTGGAGCCCATAGACATCTACAACGTAAATGCGCCACCCACCTTGAGATATAAGTTCTAAGCTCTCAGTATAGTTACAACGGCTATCCCACCCTTCAAACCGAAACGCATTACTGCTTTACGGCAGAAATAGGCGGGGTGGTGGTACCTACCCATCCGCGCGGACTCACAAGAGGTCCTACCACCAGTAAAGTTTACGTTAAGGTTTACTACATTCTAATGGCTGAAGAAGATTTTTTGTTACGATATTTTTTCCAAATTATAAACTTTAAATGGCTCTCTTGTAATGTTGCAAAAATGTAGCTTAAGCCTTGTACTGTACTTAAATAGTATTTCATCATTCAGTATATACATAAATTTTGTTTCCACAATTTAATCAATTGAAAATCAACCAACTCCGCAATAAAATCCTCCGTTAAACCTAATCTGTGATCGTCTTGAATCTTATTGTGCAGTTAAAAAAATGTTAATTGAAGTACTGTACTGTACTGTACTGTACAGTACCGTACCGTATAGTATAGTACAGTATAGTACAGTACAATAAAGTACGGCACGGCACGGCACGGCACGGCAAGGCAAGGAACGGCACGGCAAGGCGAGGCACGGCGCGGTACAGTATGTTGTTAAATAAAGATTTCCCAATTTTGACTTGCTTATAAACAGGTTTACGAATAAGGATTCATATAAATTATATTTGCCAGGTAGTTATTGATAATTTATAACCGCTTTGTATCTACTTTATGTCTCGGCGATCTGCGTTCGATAAAAAATTCTTATTACAAATGATTTCTTAGAACTTTGTGTTTTTATTCATTTGGACCGACTACTTACGGTCTATCTGATTGTAATTTATTAGAGACCTTTCTACGGCTACAGTTTGACAATTTTCAATAATGAAACAGCTGAGCGGAATGTTGCCATTGTAAGCGCGTTGTTACTAATAATAACCCAATAATAATTTTACAAATTTAAATTATCGGTGAAGTACCGAATAATAACAGGGGAGGGATCGTACTCGAAGACGTAACGAAAACAAACGATGAGTCATTGATTTAAGATAACAATGAATAACATTTGTTTTGTTACAGGAAACATTCATTGCACGAATTAGAAATTCAAGAGTCAGTTGTTTAAATCAGTTTAATTAGCATTTTTTTAACTGCACAATAAGATTCAAGACGATCATAGATTAGGTTTAACGGAGGAGTTTATTGCGGAGTTGGTTGATTTTCAATTGATTAAATTATGGAAACAAAATCTATTTATATCGACGCTTGAAAGGCAAAAGTGACTAAGCGACATTAACTGCTTTGTACATAAATGATAGGCAATAACCATATTCGATGCGCAAAAAAAAAATATTTCTAGGTCTATTAAAATCATTTCAATCCTACAGCTACTAGCTAGATTCTACTACAGCTGGATTCGTTAAAATAAATTGTGTTTTCAGGTATTTCAACTTTAAATTAGTCTACTGTAAAGTTCACGCATTGTCGCTTAGTCACGTTTGCCTTTCAAGCGTCGATATGTACTGTAATGTACTGTGTTGTACTGTGCGGTACTGTACTGTAATGTACTGTACGGTACTGTGCTGTACCGTACTATACTGTACCGTACCGTGCCGTATCATACCGTGCCGTACCATACCGTACCGTACTAGAGATAACTAGAGATAAGACAACCCATTGCACAGTTACATCTATATGCCCATTTGTTGACTGTTTTTGAATGTCATGTCATGTATGTCAATAATCTTTTCGTGTGCAATAAAGTGAATTCGCTGTCTGTCCCTAAACATATCTTAAAAATCGTAGCGAAGATTGTTGGCTTCTATAGAATTCAGTTGATTAATTTATTGTAATGGCCCTTAGGAACACGGTACCGAATTCAATATAAACAACTTCGCTAAAATAATAAAGCTTCATCTGTTTACAAATACACCGGCGGACACCTGTTCCGTTTTATCAGTTAAAGCACGTGTTAAAATAATTATTATTACTAAACAGTGTGTTGCTTTTTTACGGAGTTTTCAATTAATAATTTGGAAATGTTTTTTTTCGGTACCCAACAAGAATAGGGGTGCTTCCTGTTTATAATCCTTACGGCATATGCGATCAAAACAAGTTTTCTTTTGAATATCGATCGCAGGCAGTGGTGCGCTCTTTGGCCAGATTCAAAGTCGTCGTTGCTCTAGGGATAAGTCGTCCGGTATTCTGGTTTCGAGCGATGTGCCTCTGCATGTGCGTATTCTTACGCCTGTTTTGTAGGAACATAGGCGAAGACACTCATTTTCTAATGTTCACATTGATATTGTGTTGACGAATGACTTCCACGATTCTACACGATGTTACGTCACTCTTAAAAATCAAATTCAAATATACGTACCCAAACGTCACCCAAACCCACCACGTCAACCAAACGTACGTACGTTTGTAGGCAGCGGCTTGGCTCTGCCCTTGGCATTGCTGAAGTCCATGGGCGACGGTAACCACTCACCATCAGGTGGGCCGTATGCTCGTCTGCCTACAAAGGCAATAAAAAAAAAAAAATGGTTTTGTGTTACAAGCGTAGACCACAAATCTCATTATCCATGGGCTCCGGCAATCACTTAATGTCAGATGGGCAGTGAGCTCTTTCATGTGTCTATGTAACAAATAAATAAAACTATTAAAAATGAAACAAAAAAACGTTATTTTAGAACACGAAAAATAGAGACAAAAATCCCACGAATCCATTTGTCGTAACTTCAATCAAAATACATATTTCTGACACAGTTTTATAGTAATGAAACATAATTTATTCAAATTCAATAATAGTGAAAAAGAACTTAAGTGCCACTGAAAAAATAGCAATATAATTTAGTAAAAATATGTTTTATGTTTTCTTTGTCGGCACAATACTTGAATAGTGTACCTTCTCTGCTCTACATAATCCGCTTACGAGGGTTGTACAAACAGACCTGTCTCTCCCATTGTGTTGAAGATGCGTGCTTATACGTTTCCATCTTATCGCTCCGTTATGTGAACAATATTATATTTGTACAAGTAAAGCAAACTACTTTACGAATAAATTGATGATCAGCTACTGGGTTTTTTTTACCTAGTCTTCAGAGGCTATTTTAGCTTCTCCTTGACGTGTAAGCAAACCGGAGTGTTGCTAACACGCCCTAGCAAGAGCAGTGCTTCGCAGAATCTACCACCGGATCGGAATCGCGACCCATTGAGAAGATCCGGCAAGAAACTCAGTGGGCTGGGTCTGTGGGTTAATTCACTCGTCGAGCCCTTCGTCGCAAGCGACGGGTTCGACGAGGACGGTGACCGGTGCTAATGATACCTAAAAGCACTGTTAATGGATCGGGAGGATCCGTAATGACGTGTTAGCTACCGGGTACAGACAGCAGTTGTACATGGTTACCTTGGAAAGCGGCATGGCTCTGCCTCTGGCATTGCTGAAGTCCATAGACGACGGTAACCACTCACCATCAGGTGGGCCGTATTTTCGTCTGCCTAAAAGGGCAATAAAAAAAATGGCAAGGCCTATATGAACCCACAAAATTAGGTAACGCCACTTTACTTATTTACGGCTGAATAGTAAAGGGTAGATACATAAAAATTAAATTTTTGACCTGAACTGTGGGTGGTCGTATTTATGTTCTGAAGTCTATTTAATCGATAACTACCTAAGGTCTGATATGTCGCACGTTCAGATTCTCTTATAATTCACGTTCGCATGAATGAATAAAAATGAATCTAATTCTCAGTTTATTAAGGGTCTTAAATTCTAAACTGGCACTTTTGATAGCAACGCGAACTAAAAATATGCCTGAAAACCGGTTCAACAACTGACAAAATTAATATTACATTGACTTTTTCGGGATTCATTATAAACGATGTTTATCTTTTATCATTCACAGTATCGTTGATACTAGATTAATATTAATCTTGAGTAAATCTGCCGCAAAGCTTCCGTTACGATTTGAAGGGACAGCTTCTATATTGAACAATGCAACTTAAATGTTTTCCATCAAACTTCTGTTCCAATATACTACCAGATAGGAAGTAAGTTTGTTTGAACAATAAAAATAAAAACATTAATAGCATCTTATCTATGTAATTCATTTAGTGAATAAAAAATAATACGGCTTCTTTTTAGACGTTTAAATTAGTGACATGGGTTTCATCTGACGTTAATGTAGATAATTTCACAGATCAGCTTGTTTAATATACTAGAGGTCCTGCAGTAGTCGAAATTCGACTATAATTAATTGGAATTGTAAGTTTGTACACTATTATGATTATATTTTATACTTCTATAATCACAAATTTCGCCAAGACTACACTATAAAAATATATTAAATTAATAAAGACAAACAATATTTAATCTATTCTCAATTTGACAACAGACGTCAAGAACAAAAATTTGACAATAAATAGTATGCATGCGTGTGTGCGTCAACTACATGGTATGTAGTGTGTGTAATGTTTTCTTTATTGATTTAATGTATCTTTTATGCATTATTTTAAAAAAATATTAGCATTGTGCACTTCTTCTCTATATTCTCTATAAGTGTGCAAAATTTTATATTCCTCCATCCGCGCAATTTTCGTAAAAAGGGATACAAAGTTTTTGCTTCACCTATTAATATATAGATTATGAAAAAATAACGCGAAAACATGACTATGCAAAATGGAACACTCTGTATGTTTATCGGCGGGCAGCCGTTGACCTCGGGACAGTCGGGCCGATCGATCGAACCATTAATGATGTACGAATCTACGCGCGCTACTGTGAAAATGATTGTACGCACAATATCAAATAGAAAACCTCTTTACAGATATATTTATATGCATGTATGTTTTTTTTTTTTTTGTTAAGTGGTTACTGGAGCCCATAGATATTTACAACGTAAATGCGCCACCCACCTTGAGATATCAGTTGTAAATTCTCAGTATAGTTACAACGGCTGCCCCACCCTTCAAACCGAAACGCATTACTGCTTCACGGCAGAAATAGGCGGGGTGGTGGTGACTATCCGTGCGGACTCACAAGATATCCTACCACCAGTAAAATATGTATTCAGGTATATGTGTATGTATTTGTAATTTAATATAAATTTCATAGAACCTACCACTATTTACTCTGCAATACCTTTGGTTGACTGGTAGAGAATGCCTTAAGCATTAAGCCAATGTAAATTTTACATGAAGTGTGATAAATAAATAAATAATCGTAGATCTAACTACCCTTCAATTTTAAGTTTCAACGACCTTTAGATACTCTCAATAACTTGAAATTTATTCCTTATCTTTATTATTGAATTTTTTACCATATAATCTAAAAATTTCCTTGCATTTACTCAGATACACTACATAGTTTTAATGAAAAATTGTTAATTTTACATAAAAAATATATTATACATTCTTTGAATTCAACACACTAGCCCTACTCGCCCGCTTCGCTGGGAATTTGAAATTAACATTATAATTTATTGTCATTATTATTAGGGAGTCCAACCATCGATATATATCGATGAGTCCAACACTCATATAAATATTAGCCTATCCATTAAGTACATATATTTTCTACATGGATACCAAGTCTCAAGTCAATCGGATACATGTTTCAGTAGTTATAATGGAACATCTGTAAAAATCACTGTAGATTTATATATTAGTATAGATGATGATTGACTAAGCTGACACTGAACATGACACGTCACTAGCGTTTTGGCTTTCCAGTGATTGTTATCGATTTATCAACTCATAACTAGTACAGTTTCTTTTGAGGAATTATTAATGGTACAACTAGAAGCGAAGTATCGAGTCATGCAGCAGCGCGCCCTTTTCAAAACCCCGACGACACCTTAATACAAGGCGACACTTAAATGAATGTGGGTCACACACGTCAGAGCAATTAACTATTGTAGTTAATAAATTGAAATAGTAATTGAAATAGTGTAAATTTTAGTTAGGTACTTGGGGCGGAGCCGCAGTTTAGTTTAACTTGAATATTAATATTCACTCACCAGACCTTGTGCCGACAGACTTCTACTTTTTCCAAAGTTTGGACAAGTTTTTAGTAGGGAAAAAAATACAATATCTGAGAGACAGTACAAAATAAATGGCTTTGAGGAGTTTGTTACCTCCCTTACAGCTGATTTCTTCAAGAAGGGCATTGAAAAATTACCACATTTTGTTTAATAAAAAAAAGACTAACTTTCTGTATACTACTTCAACTTCACAGGAGACCTATTATTCGTTTATTTGTTTAGTTATTTTTATGTTTACCTCAAATTATGAATTGATTTTCTTCGTAATTTTTTTAACCAGACTGCTGGAAATTTAGTGTTTTCGAGCTTATGTCTATAATAATTTGTATAGTTCTGTAGCACGCGATACAGCCGAAGCCTTTTGATGTATACCAACATATGACATTTGTCTTGGTTATGGTACCAACATATTACGTAAGTCTTTATTAATTCAGTAAGATATCCGCGCATAATTTACTGAAATGAAACAAAAAAAAAAAATATGAATATTTTTATTATATTTTTAATTTAATTTAATGGTTATCTGGTAGAGACCTCTCTTGGCGATAAGACCGCTCAAAGTAATTGATATTGATGTGTAATAAAGCTCTATACATATGTTGCTTTTAAGTAATGTAGCAATAAATTGCCCTATTAAAATAATATAACTGTCGAGAAATGTAAATACAAATATTTTTTATTTCTTTGCTTATCATCTGGTTTATGCCTGCAAAGCAATTGAATTTTTGTATTTTTTACACACTCAGATTTTTCATAATTAATTTAAATAGTTATTGATATTTGAAGGGATTTATACTTTATCATTTTCTAAAGCTTGTGATGTCAGTGATTGTGGTTGAATTTCAGTCAAACAAACACTGAAATTGTAAGCGAATCTATTTTAGTTCAAGCTTTGTTAGTTTTAAAATTATATTCACGTTGATTTGGCCATTGCCTTTAATTTGGTATAAAAAATGCAAAACCTGAACATAGCTATCCGAACGAAATATCAATTCTGTTGTTTAAATTTTGTTCCTACAGATCAAATTGCATGACTGCTTGGTAGCTGAGATAGGCAGGATTGTGGTTTCTATCTTGTTATCTACTTGGATTCGCATCCTATAATCTGTATTGTTTATTTACTAAATAAAACTAAATAGCTAACATGTAACTGTATACTTGAGACCTTAGAACTTATATTTCGAGGTAGGTGGTGCATTTATGTCGTAGATATCTATGGGCTCCAGTAACCACTTAACACCAGGTAGGCTGTGAGCTCGTGCAACCCGTCTAAGCAGTAAAAATAAAAATAAAAACCATTGAAGCAATAGCAATACTGAAATCGAAATTTCAAAAAAGTAAACCTAGTATCAATGCTAATATATGTTTACTCACTATATTCCAGTCATTATCTTAACAACGCAAACATTTTATTTTCCAAAGCGCTTGTTATGTTTTGTACAAACATTATTTATTATTCGATGCATAGTCGGCCGAATTCTGACACATAAACCATATTGTACGGATAAGTTACGATTTTATTCAATGCAAATGGGAAACTTGATTCTAATAAGATAGAAGAATAAATATGACTGTTTCCAGAATGCCAATATTTATCGAGTTGCTGAGTTCGACCAGGTATAGGACGCCGTTGATAAAAAACCATCAGAGTTAATAACCAACTACAGCATCTCATAAATGCAACGGAATGTTAATAAAGTAAATACAACGCTTAATGAAATATAGCATATCTGAGTAGTTATGCTATATCTAATGGATAATCCAATAGAGTTATTGGATTAGGTATCGCATACCTGGATCACAATATGCTTGAGCCACTGCATTATATAATATTATCCAACGATAAGGTGGCATCCTATTATTACGTTTCTGGTTTTTATTTTTAAGCTATTGCATAGCTTCTATCGCGGGCCTTGAGCGCGGCGACTGAATCAAGAAATTCCGTAACGAAAATAATCTGACACCCCCACTACGCCTACTATGTAGCTCGCGTTCAACACATTCACACGTTGCGCTGGTGTAGTGTTTGTGAATAAGCGCGCGACGTGACGTCGCACGGCATGAGCATCATGAAAAGTCTGCCCATCTCTCTCTCACGCGGTCTAGCTTATGACTGTGAAGGGGACAGTTAATGTTTTGCTTTTGTTAATGTTTATAAATATAGCGTGGTCTTATTTTTATTATTATTGTTTTAATATTAAATTATTATTGTCTAATTGTAATTGCATAAGTTGATAAAAATTACTTTGCAATAGCTTTACCGTGGCAGTCCCCGAGTGCCACACGTCTTTTTTAATTTAACTTCACGTTTTGGATTGTTATTTATGTAAAGATATTTAATAAACTCTAAAATTGTTTCAGGACACAAGGACACACGTCGTCGTCGAATTATACGAAACGGAGAAATCGTATGTGGAAGCCTTGGAGATATTAGTAAAGGTGAGTGAACGGTCAATTCGTTCTTTGTTGTCTATTTGGGTATTTTAAGAAGGGTATTGAAAAATGATCACTGCCAGTCAACGGTCGTCTTCGTAATAGTAGGAGTTTTATTTTTCCAATTGAAAAGGTAAAGGTATCATACCATACAGTTTAATCTTTTATATATTTTTTATATGTAAAATGATATTATGAAATGAAATGAAGTTGATTAATATGAAACATAGCATGAAATGATATCAAATGAAAACGAAATGGAATAAAATGAAATGAGATAAGATGATATGAGATGAAATATAATCTCAGTAAAATGGTGGTCATTTACTGAGACTTTCTCAGTGGAATTTTTGGAGGATCCCGATAAGTTACGCTCAGCGGCTTTGTTTCATTTTCCCACATTTGCGCACTTTCACAGATATTAAACAGTTAATAAACCACAGCTATTACACATTTAAACCTGAAGAAACACTAAATAGACAAAATAAGACAAAATACACAACTTCACTCCTCGCGTTCCCGTCAAAAAGTCAGTCGTCTTCGTTCAATTATTTTTTCCCATAGAGTTACTATCTTATTAACTCCATGTTTTTTCCAGTCTTGAAAAGTCACTCTCGCAATGTCAAGTCTCCGTCTTAGTCTATGTCTAGGCATTGTAGGTCCGTATGTCCTGTCATAGAGGTTGCAAGCCACGACAGTGACGCTTTGATATATTCTTATGATAGGATTTCACAGAAACAGCCCCCAAAAACAAAAAGAGGTGGCGGTGCTAACGACGACCGATAATGCTATTACTTTTGCTATTAGCTCAGGGATATGAAAACGATATTGGACACGAAAAACTTCCATTTATCGCCGAGAGTAAATTACTCTTATAATCTAATGATTGCGAAATCTTTTCTGACGTTATTAATATCATCGGTCATACAACGACTGTGTATTGGGCATCAAACCAGACTGTTTGTATTCCAACAAAACATTTGTACTGGCTTTACCGCATTGTTGCTTTTTTCTGCTAAACGCTTAGCAAAGGTAATTTAGAAGCTTTTGTTATGTTTGAAAAAGTTCTTCGTTTTCCCTATCTGTTATCTATCTTTATTTTTAACCAACATTCCTATTCGGTCTCAAAATCTCCCGCCAGATTTTATCCACCACTAAAATATGATTTTTTACTGACGGTAGGACGCCTTGTGATTCCGCACAGTTAGGTATCACCACCCTGTCTGTCTATTTCTGCCGTGAAGCAGTATTACGTTTCAGTTTGAAGGCTGAGGGAGCGCTTGTATAGTAAAATTGAGGCCTTAAAACTCATGTCTGAAGGTGGGTAGCGGCGGCATTTACGTCATTGATGTCATTGTGATATGTCGATTTCTGCTTGGTGATTAGGTATAGTTGCATGAAGCAACAAATACACCATGCGTCTACTATGTTACAGGAAGGTACCTTAGATAGAAGGAAATTTAGATTTGCTTTGAGAAATATATGGGTATTTTAAAATTGAGATAACGGTAAATTAGTTAGTCGTTGTCCCCTCGATAGATCCTCTGGCGCCAATATGTTTTGTTTTGGTTTGTCGGGGTATTTGCAAGAGCCGTTCCTAAAACTTTTATATGTTTGTTTTTTTTTTAATCTTGCTATCAATATATACCAACTGACGCCTTTTCGCTGCTGGAATTAGGTTCCGCCACAGAGCCAATTATGAATTTCCTTATAGATATAAATGACCGTCTTTCGCCTGTTTCTAAATATTAATCAATAATAAATATCTAAATAGCATAAATCAAGGTGCAACACACGTGTTTTGAATTAATACAAAAAAAATAATCAAAATAAATCTCAACTGTTTCTACGCGATTAAAATGATCATAATAAATCACAAGTTCAGGTAATCGTCACTAAATTAGTCGCTGAGCGACAAATTCGTTATATTTATAGCTGCGAGGAAAGCTCAGGGTTGTACAAAATTCTTGTGTATCGCGATCTGACTTACGAATTTCATATTCGCATTTTAATTTATTAGTTGCTAACAGATATCTTATAGGGAAGCGTTTATTTGTTTGACTGCGAATGCGAAATTCGGCCTAATGTCTAAAATTGGGCGTGGTGGTTACGTGCAGTGTTTATGAGCTTTATTAGCATAGTTTTTCGGGTACAGCGAATTATTTTACTCGTATAGATAGAGTCTCGTATATTACTGATGGTAGGACCTCTTGTGAGTTCGCGCGGGTAGGTACTACCACCCTGCCTATTTCTGCCGTGAAGCAGTAAAGCGTTTCAGTTTGAAGGGTGGGACAGCCTCTGTAACTATACTTAAGACCTTAGGACTTATATCTCAAGGTGGGTGGCGCATTTACGTCGTAGATGTCTATGGGCTCTAGTAACCACTTAACACCAGGTGGGCTGTGAGCTCGTCCACCCATCTAAGCAATAAAAAAAGTCTATGTGTGAATGTGTAAATTGAATAATTTTATTTAAAAAATTAAATTAAGTTATTTATTTCGGCTTTTTCGTTGAATAAACATTTTTTGCCTCGTTGATGGGACGCCCATATTGAAAGCAACTTGGATCTTGCCACGTTCACAGCGTGCATACCGCTCTGATTATAAGACATTGAAACCTGTATTTGCAATTTTATTTTTGTGTAAAACTGACGATCGTACAGAAACGTGATTTATTTATTTAATTCCACCAACAAAGTGTTAATTAATACAAAACATTGACAAATTGACAATAAGTAGGTACATGCCAGATGTCACCTCAATTATATGTAGGTGCAATCAACAGTACCTCCAATATTGGAATTAGAAAAGTAAAAAAAAAAAAAAAAATTTTAAGAAATATTATATGAAATCCAGTATGTTACTCTTAAGGCACTAAGTAACAATTTTTTTTAATATCTACTTTAATAGAAAAAAATCTATACTAATATTATAAAGAGGAAAGATTTGTTTGTTTGTTTGTTTGTTTCGAATAGGCTCCGAAACTACTGGACCGATTTGAAAAAATCTTTTTCCATTAGAAGCCGACATTGACCCTGATGAACATAGGCTACTTTTTTTAATTTTTTTTTTATTATATTTTTTTGGTTTCATGTGTGTTTTAATGTTTCCGAAGCGAAGCGAGGGCGGGTCGCTAGTAAATAACTAAAACTTGTTTTTGTTTAATTATGATTAGGTTATATTTAGTTTCTGTAGGCTGCAGCTTGGCTTTGCCACTGGCATTACTGAAGTCCATGGGCGACGATAATCACTCACCATCAGGTGGGCCGTATGCTCGTCTGCCTACAAGGGTAATAAAAAAAAAAGAAAAATACTGGGAAATGATCCGTGCCAGATTTTTCTTGTACGTTGCAGTCTACGTCATAGTAGACATCAGTAGATCATTTTTTCTAAATTCTAACATAATCGTATATAACAATTACGTCATAAGCGCTTAAACTCCAAAGCGTTTTCACAGTACGTGGAGAAATACCAGCGTTCTTATCCTTGAAATCGAATGGTTGTGTGGCGGCGTGAATAGGCATTGTTATCAACTCCTGTAGGCTTTCCACGTTCTATAGTCGTCGATACTAAGTATATTTTACGTAACCCGAACAAAAGTTGGTCGTAAAATTTTCAAACGCATCCCAACCCTAATATTCCCTCTTCGTGCAAATTTTCCGCTCTACCTCGACGCGAGTCTATTTACTGTCATCCCCCCCTCCCGCCTGCCAGGCCCGCTGAAGGACAGATCACAAAAGGCACCGCCTCAAAAGGCTTTGAGTGTTTTTCTACTTCTATTTTGGAGTCTCGCGTTGGAGCGTTTCGTTTTAAAAATCACGGAGCTTACCCTGAAAAACTTAAAAAAAAAATTGGACAAAATTCACCCTTCGTTTATCCAAAAGTTTTTGATCTATTTATCTTATGTTACATTTTTTCACTGGTGGTAGGACGCTTTTTTTCATTTTCTCTTCTTCATTTTTTAGTTGAATTTAATTTTTTTCAATTTTTAATTTTTTCACTTTTTTTTTTAATATTGAATTGTCATCGGTCCTCGATAAATCTACAAAGTTTGAATGAAATCTGGCCGTTTAAAGTGAGTCAAAATCGCGTCTAAAGGAGTCCGTTACAAACATACAAACATACATACAAGTGAAGCTAATATAAAGCGTGTAAAAATACAAAGCAAAATATGATCCATTGCGTGCGGTGCGTCCGTCGCGGACCAATGTACGCGTACCTTAATGTTCTTTCACGTGTCACGTAGCGCTTTCAATGCACCGCTAAAGGCTTTAACAACAACAAAAGCATCAGTGAATGCTGAATATCCTCTTTGATACTAAAACAATGGCCTTTCAGACGCTTGAAATGCAATTTTCGGTAGCTTAGTTGTCAATGTCATACAGTATATCCATCAAAGGTAATAAATAAGTTCTCGCGAATTCTACATTTTCGCTTTAGAGATACGCAGAATAAAGGCTAAATTCCAATTTATCGGATTTGTGTATTTTCTTCAGATATCTTTTTAAGTTATAATATTTATTTACTTTAGTTTTGGCAAGTCTTAGACACAATTAAACTACTTTTACAGTTTTCGTCGTCCGCGACGACCACGAAAATTGTAAAATATTTGAAAGTACAGAAATAATGTAATGATAATAACAAACGCAATATTAAATTATAAAATTGATGTTAAATAAATTATTTTATTTATTGTCTATTTAGTAAAATTGAATTGTAATTGATGATGATGATTTTTTTTATAATTAGATTGTGAATTTAGAGAAACTTAATTGAAAAGGAAAGTCAACTGCTCAATTCGTTTTTTATTTTTTTATTGCTTAGATGGGTGGACGAGCTCTCAGCCTACCTGGTGTTAAGTGGTCACTGGAGCCCATAGACATCTACAATGTAAATGCGCCACAAACCTTAAGATATACGTTCTAAGGTCTCAGTATAATTGCAACGGCTGCCCCATCCTTCAAACCGAAACGCATTAGTGCTTCACGGCAGAAATAGGCGGGGTGGTGGTACCTACCCGTGCGGACTCACAAGTGATCATACCACCAGTAATTACGCAAATTATAATTTTGCGGATTTGATTTTTATTACACGATGTTATTCCTTCACCGTGGAAGTCGATTATGAACATTTGTTAAGTACATATTTCATTAGAAAAATTGGTACCCGCCTGCGGGATTCGAACACCGGTGCATCGCTAGATACGAATGCACCGGACGTCTTATCCTTTAGATACTTTGTACGCTTAACAAGAATAAATAAATTGGAGGTGTCAAACTAAAATATAAATCTTAAATTAACGTACCGTATTTCAAATTCTGTGGCGAGTCCTTTTGCAACGAAAATTTAATCGAGTATAACAAACTTGACAATTTCGAGATTGAAAACGTCTTCGCAAACTAAGTGGTTCTTTTGTGTTATTTAGTACACTTCAGTGTTTTCCTTTGAACTTAATAGATAAGTTGATAGAGTTTGAGTTGAGTGCATCAGAATCTTATTTGTTCTGTACAGTTTACCTTGTGGAATATGAGAAAGCTTTGTTTATTTGTGTTCCGATCATATTTAAAGCGGTTAGATTTTAGTTTTTTCGGACACCAGTTTGATTTACTTTTTACTCTAGCACCATCATTCGAACAGAGCTCATCCCTATTAACTATTATATAACCGCTTCGTTCATCCACAACGGGTTTCCAACTTCCCTTCGGATTTTTCCGGAGTGATGTTCAAAAAAGATTTAATTATTTTCGATCGGCAGCAGCTGAACTGTACCCATGGCGTTGCCAACGCGCATGTGCGTCAGTACACACCCATCAGCACTTGGATCGTATGATAACTATGGAACTAGCCTATTATGACATAATAATTTAATTTAAAAGCTATATTTTAAAATATACTTATCCCAGTGCCGATGCGCTATTTTTAATACGCTTTTATTAGCTTCAGACGTATGTATGTTAGTATGTAACGGAATCTTTAAACATGACTTTGACCCCCTTCAAAGCGTCGGATTAACTTGAAATTTGGCATGCTTATGAAGGTCCGATGACAATTCAATTTTTTTTTTTTTTTTTTTTTTTTTTTTTTTTCTTTATCTTGCAATCAGTCAGCTAGACTATGAGCAGATGTGTTGAGAGCTGTTAGACGGTCAGAGCAAAATCTCCATCGAGACTGCTCCACTCTGTCAACCGTGTCTATCAAGACTTAGGATTTGTCGCCTTTTAAGCCTATTTATTAGGTCCGGTGTGGTTAGTTGCGTGGCAAGCTTATTAGGATGCNCAGAACTTGGATATGTCAAAATTATATCTAGTCATTTTGTTTCCAGAAATATCTCCAGCCCCTAAAGAGTCCGGAGAACGCAGCCTTACTTGACGCGTATCTTGTCGACGAAATCTTCTATCAAGTGCCGGCGATCCTGAATGTGCACCAAGTATTTTTAGAGCAACTGAGGAGACGGTTAGAACAATGGGATCTGCAACAAAAAGTCGGAGATGTCTTCTTGGAAGTCGTGAGTTTCTTCTGCTTATTACGCCAACTTGATAATTTTTTATCATTTCACTTCTCATCCAGAAAAGCATGTTGACGGCATTAACATTTGCACAATTAAGTTAATGATACGTCAGAGTTAAAAATATACAAAATATATTGAAGCTTTTAGCTTTTAGAGCTCTAGGATTGTTTGTAGATAGCCATTGGAAAGAAATGGAGTTTAGATTTTACCCATCGTTCCTATGAGGGTGCGCTCGTCTGTGATGCATTTCCAGAGATGTTTGTCTCCCATATCAATATTGATATCTGTTATCAATGGCAAACCAATTATACTCAACATGAACCAGAAGTAATCTAGTTACAGCTATCCTTAAAGTAAAAAAAATATGCACAGTATACATATTTCCAATTATCATTTTTGCGACATACCACGGAGCTTTATGATGAAATATCATGTCCGATGCTTCCGTTGTGTTATGACCAATCTTTCAACGTTCTTTGATGAAAGATTCCGCTAGAAACTATCACATAATACATTGTTTGAAAAACGATAAGATGACCTTATGTTGAAGCCAACATAAAACCATTGTACGAATGAATCTACCAATTCTAGTGGTATCAATCTCATACCAATGTAAAATTATATACGAAATAAACCGATAAGAGGGTAATTTTGTAAGTCTATTATCGAGGCTATAAACATTTAAAACGGGACACGGTCTCGCTATTGGTTTGTTACAATTTCCTCCTCGCGTCGTTTTCCTCATTACTGAGGGTCGAGACTCCCCCGCTGCATCAGTTTCTCCCATACAACTTCCCTCCATCTGCCGCGATCCTTTGCATCATGAAGGGCATTATGGAAATTGATGCTCAGAGAAGATCGCCGTTGCCGGTCCCAAGCCCGGATGAGAAAGGAGGAGGGTTGGTATGGAGGAAAACAACCCAACCATAAAAGAAACAACGCCGAAAATCGGGCGGCGGTCAATTAACCCGATCCCTCTGACACCTGTTGGAAAGTGGCTCACAGAGACCACGAGGACTTAAATAACCTCTAAAATTCTGCAGTGGAAGGATCTGGGTATCCACCACTAAGTATTTACCCAAGAAAACTCCCTCAATGAACAGTACGATGATACAATTTACACCTACCTTTTTCGGTCTCACTTTTATAGGGTAAAAAATATTTTAATTTACAGGGTCTAGTTGCTCTTTCCCTTAATTTATTGATAGTAGAAGGCACAGTAGTTAATTCGGTAGCTAAAATCGAGTTTTATAGAATTAATTAGTTGAAATACAAATTATTCCTTGTGTTTGTTAGACTCGTTACAAAGTTATCGATTTTCTGTAGCCTTTTTGATCTTTAGTACAGATTATTTGTGAACTTTTCATTTTGCCATTATAAGAAAGGATAAACCAAAACAATAAAAATATATCTAAAGATAAGGGTAGTTAAACAATGTTTTATAGGAAAGATAAGGTTTTATAAAAAATAATTGTAGTTCTTGTTGTAACTCCAGAAATATTGAATCTAAAATTACATTAATTATAATATACCTATATAATTTAGGTAATTTTAAACATGTTTGGAAACACCTTTTTTTAGTTCACAAAACCAGCTGTAATGGACACTTACATGTCTTTCATAAGCAACTTGAAGAAGGCAAAAGAAACTATAAAAACTGCAGCATCATCACGACCTGCCTTCGCGAAGTTCCTAGACGCTATGGCCAGGGACCACAAGGGAAAGTTGTCTTTGGACAATTTACTAATAAAACCTGTGCAAAAGTTCCCAAGCTACAAGCTGCTGATACAAAGGCTGATCAAACATACTGGTAAATTAGCATATTAGTACACTTAATTTTTTTCCTTTCCATTTCATTCACACATAAGGTCTTTCGTAGATTTCGGCTTCAGAATTTTTTATAAACTATTTTATACAACTACATATTTATATTATTTTATATTTAAATTATTATTTTTACAGTACCCGTCGATAAACATAGCACAGGACCTTTTGAAGGAACAAATCTACTAATTTCGGCTTCGTAGAACTTTCTCTCTGTTGCACGAAACACTAATAACGCACTGTCTATTAAGCCCGCACAGCGCACTTGAACAATGACTGACAAACGTCACATAAGTAGTGTGCGACAGAGATAGCAGTAGAAGCCGAAATTAGCCGATTGTCTCTTTCCTAAGGTCGATGAGCAATATTTATCGTCGGGTACTGTATATTACGAATTTATATACTCGAATTGTGGACAATTACTTAATTTATGAATGGTACATTAACGGTTTTCATCGTTTCAGATCAATCACACCCAGACCATAAACTCTTGCTAGAAGCACAAAAACAAATACACGATCTCCTAGAATTTATTAACTGCACCGAAAAAGAAAGTTTGGAATATGAATTACAACAACAGACCCTTAGAGATTTGGAACAGATGATCGAAGGTCTGTCTAATCTGGTAACCGCTGATAGGCTGTTTATAAAACACGAAATGGTGACAATGCCCTCAGCTCAAGGAACCATCAAAGACAGAGCTCTATTTCTATTCAATGATACGCTCTTGATAACCAGCGTGAAAAGAAGAACCGGCACTATTAAGAAACCTATGCCGTGAGTATTAATTAAGATGCCTTAAAAATCAATATTTTGAGTTATAAATGAATATACCTATTTACTGATGGGATTTTTCAGAACATACCAAAGTACTATAGCGAGTCAAATGGAGGGGAACAAGTACAAACTGCTCATGCGAATGTCATTGGCTGATCTCGATATTATAAAAGGTAATTAATTATCTAAAATATACCAATTTTTTTGTACGAAATATATTATAGGTATATATGAAACCTGAAACGAACTACATCACTTGAAGATGTTGGAGTCGTTGTTTTAGTAATTTTTAAATCAATTTGAGCTTTTTCATATTTAGTGGATTCAAAATTATAATTAAAATTTTGTTTGATCTAACCACTGATAAAAAACATTCCAGCTTTTATATAACGTTTTTATTAGTTTATCATAACTTAGGTATTGATTTGACAAATGTAATTGTTACTTTCGAGCAAGTGATTTCTGATTTCCAAACGTATTTCGCCTTACTCCCTTGTTTTAATTAGATAGGGAAATGTAGAAACGGATAATGAATTCAACGTCTATTATGTTTCTTGAGAGTCCGATATTACAGATTCGCTGTTCTATTTAAGTTGAAATTTAAGGTACTGATGCTTTAATCATGCGCCAAAGTTTTTTTTAACTACTGTAAATATTGGAATGAAACATGATGATTAAGCTGTTGTTTTATGTATAGATCAGAAAAAAATATTTTTTAGTTCAATGTCAGGATGTTAATTTTTTGCTCAAATATTTAACCATAAAATCTATTCATGGCTGAATACCGCCACCTACTTTGATGCATGAGGTCGAGTCTCAACTGCATTGTAATACCTGGGCCTTGAAATTGGATCGTGTGATGCCTTCTTTCTAAGAATAAACAGAACGGTGTTACCGAACCATGTATTCATAACACGATGTACAAGCAATCGTCAAGTTAGGAATTGGGAAAATAAATGAAGCTAAATCTGTTACAACTACGGACGAATGAGGAAGTAATAATTCTAGGGCTAGATAGGGCTAGCTAGCAGGGACAAAAATTATCATCAGCTTAATAATGAATATACGAGCAATATTTGTTAATGAAATTCACTAAGTAAAAGAAGGTTAATTGGATTCGCCTCTATTCTCTATTTTACTAGCAGTCCACGATCGAAGTTTTAAAAGAATCATAGTTTCCTAAGCTCGTGGGAGGCCATACTCTAACTTTGCAGCTACATTTTAATAGTTTTCATCTTTGAAATAACGAGTTACCTCTAACCTTTGATCATTTTTGCTTTATATCGTATTCTTCGGAGGAAAGGTGAATTATACTTTGTGTCGTGTTGTCTAAGATATAAAATCGCAAGTAGATAATCACGTAGTTTTTTTTCTTGTAGTTTCTTTAGCAAGTAATTCTGCACGCGAACTCTTTGATGTCTAATTAGTCCAGTTGCGTTACTTCAAATGTTTCGAGTAGTTTTTTGTTAGTTTGTTTCATATACTTTCGTTTTAAATGCCGCATACTACTTATCGAATGGTTTTAAAATCATTTCGAAACATTTCATTTATCAGTAAGACATGTTTTGTTTACGAATTCCTTAACATAAAATCAACAGGACGTCCCGTCTTTGATGTGCGATAATTTTTGCGAGTAATATACTAAATTCGCTTGCGGTTTTTGGCAGTTTCTTGGCTCGAAATAGAAACAGACTTATTGGAATTTGCGAACGGTTTTTGTAACCTTGGATATTTGACTACACTATTGACGGTGATAGATCCCTGTCCCATTTTTTTTGTATTTGTGTTCATATTGAAGAATACTTGCAGGGTGTATTCGAATTTCGCGAATATGACAAAGCAGGTGTTAGTGCTAGTGATTTACAAAATTATAACACTGAAAATTACCCTTAAAAATTTATGCTGTACAAAACTAATGTTATTTTCACTTCACACATAACAACAAAATTCAGATTCAATCGAGGCGTGGGATCAACAGTCTTGAGCACATGCGAAGTGTCAGCTATCTTTGTGATATGTTGCGGATTCACGCAAGATGGAATTACTAAAGAGAAGTTCTTACGCTTAGTATAGCAAATTGACGTTTACGGCTTTGAAATACGCTTCCAATACACCCTGTATGTACTCAATGTAGATTGCTTGTTGTTCGTTCACAAATCAGTGCCAAAGAAAATATATTGTACACAATGTTTCAAATATTCGTCATCGGCGTTTATTACATAAATAAAACACTGCTTAGCGTATTTGTATCGAATGATATATCGCAACTGAAAATTAATACCCCCATGTTTTTAGCTAAAGACGAAAACGTAAGGCGAATAATCAACGAAGTAGAGAAACTAAGGGAAGACGTGAACACACTGACTCTGATATCAGATCACGTGGCAGCGCTGCACACCCAGCACGCGCAGCTTGAGGAACTCGTCCGGGACATGTTGCATTCGTTGAACCGCCAACTATCGGAGCGTCAGAACAGCGACGGCCAGTTGTGTTGCATGGAAATCACGTTGAACACCGCGTAAGTATTGGTTGGCCCAGGATAGGTTCTGTACGTGGGACCGTCGAGGCCATCGGCCCAGTCCTCTCGCACTGTATGAATCTGGACTGAGGACGTCTCACCTTCCAGGCAACGAAGGTACTCACGGGACTCTTCGGTCCCCTGCAGCAAAAATGTAACTATACTTGAGACCTTAGAACTTATATCTCAAGGTGGGTGGCGCATTTCTTTTTCTTAATAGTTTCAGTTGTGACAGAGTGGTCGTGATCGTTATGTGATATTGGAGGGGGCATATGTGGTCCGTCTCACGTTGTCCTGACATGTCTTCCTGCTTGGGACTATTCTGCTGCACTCAATTAAGGAACCTTCCTTGCATCTTACATATTAAATTATCTTATCGATTTATCCATCCATTATTCCCTTCGATTTCCGAAATATTTTCAACTATTTTAGCATTTTGCCGTTAGACATTGTCTGTCAATGAATTTTATTTAGCTATTTTTTTTTTACATTAGTTTCTTTTTGGGTGCTTTTCAAGTAAGTCAATAGATTTTGTGAACATTTTATATTCTCCATGTACTCTACAACTGCAATATTGTAAAGTATCAAATATTGAGAGTCAACGTTAATAACATGTACCTTGTTTTTTCAGTAATGGACCGGAAAATCTTACCATAATATTTTCTAAGCCTGACAAGAGAAATCAATGGGAAGAAATCATCAATGATGTCAAGCAAAAACTATGTAAGTGATATTTACAATATGTAATACTGTCTCCATTCTATATTTTGTAATTGATAGGCTAATTGGCACAAATAACAAAACTATCTAGACCAGTAGTACCTGTAGGGAATTTCAATCAAATTGAAACTTAATTGTTACTACTTTTACGGCTTAATCTCGCTTAAGTTATTACCGACGGTACATTATTACGTTATTAATGAATTTGTTAATCGTCGAGATTTGAATATTGTGCTAACTACCGTCAAATTTTCGTTATTAGTGATTAAAAGATTGAGCCGTGATTTTTTATTGTGTCTAAGCCTCGCGTATACAAAAAATAAACTACATTAAGCACGATCAGTCAATCTTAGTTTGGAATATTAAAGTTTTAAAGAAAATCAAATAATTCAAACAATTTTTACGTCAACCAATCACAATACGTGGTATCAATGTAATGGCCCTTGTATTCTATGGTATATTTTATGGTCTATTTTAGCTCGTAAACAATTACCAAATGACGTCACACGTAATGGAGTTGCTCCCAGCCGAGCGTCGTAAAACTTAACTAAGCAATTTAGAATGATATAACCTACAAACATTGTCCTGTCACATATCGGCGTAAGCCCTCTGAGTTCCTCGTCAGATCGCGACAATCTCAGTGGCTCACGTTTCCGATCTGGTGGTAGATTCTGCGAAGCACTGCTTGCTAGGGCTAGTGTTAACCACGTCACCGGGTTAGAGCCTGTGAGCTCACCTACTCGTCCGATCGCGCTGGCATAACTCCTTAGGTTACCAGCTTAGGTAGGATATTTTTTATATCGGCTTACATATAAAATTCGATTGTCTCTGTAGCAATCACTCCTAATACATATTGTAAGTCCACACGGGCTATCGAAATCATGAATACAGTAAATTTCGGTTATAACGACGGCGTAGGGGGCACTTTAATGTCGTCGCTATATCCGGAGGTCGCTATATCCGAAGTAATAAAAAGTCGTGTACGTATTTCTAGCCCGAAGTAGTCCAACGTTTCTGTTTGAAGGAGGTTAGAATGTTATATTATATTAAAATTGAGATATTTTCCACTTCGTATTATTATCTCAAGATGGTTAGTATTCTCGTTGTAATTTCTATGTATTATAGTAACCCTATGAGACCAGATTGGGTATGAGCAAATCAAACCAGCTAAAGCAATCAATTTATACTTATATATTACATAGGTATCGAAGCTGCAGCGCAGAGCTGTATGTTATATTGTCCCTCATAAAACAACAAAGTCACAACATTTTTTTATATACTTATATATGAACATTAGTTATACCTCATTGGTTAATGTCGTGACTTCTGTACTACCCTTGCTTAAGAATCTACTTAGTATTTGTATTTATTTATTTAATATATTTGGTACATATAGCTATTAGAAGAAACAGGATAATAAGGATACACAGTAAAAGGGCACTACTTATTTCATGTAGACATCTCTTCCAGTAGGCCCGCAGAAAGAAAGGAGCATTAGGAACACAAACCTAGTGCATACAGTAAACATTGTGTGTTTTATTCTACTAGATTGTGACGTATTTTTTATGGAATCTCCTACAGGTTTGTATGGCCACGAGCGGCCACCACCAGAGTTCCTATCACCTGTGCCGATCAGGAAGACCAGAGCTGGTCTCCAGTTTACGTGTGCGGCACCCACCTTACCGCCGCCAGGACAATCTCCAGATGTCTGGGTAAGAAGAAATTATCATCATCATTATCCTGCCCATTACCTCCCAGTCACCTGGGGTCGGCGCAGCTCCTTCCATACTCTCCTATCATATATAATTCCTTCGCTCACTCCCTTCTTCATTTAAGAAGGACTTCCTCCCACCACTGGAGGTACAATAGGCCAGGTGATGGTACCCTTTATATATACAATCCCTACTATGTTCAAGGTCAAATCGGTGGATCTTTCAGGTGTGCAACAGTGACGGTTACGTCGGCCAAGTCTGCGTTTTGACCCTGACCCCGAAACTGGAGGTCACTTCATGCAACGGAGTGTGCAACGCTCGGATCCTGTGCGTGGCCTGCGTGCCTCCCGCACCAGCACTCACCAGGCAGCAGACCGTGGATGTACCGTAAGTGGCACAGTTAGATTCATGGCGGGAACTTTACGAGTGACTTCGACTGCGATGAAGTAATTAAAAAATTATAAAATTATAATTTGCGTAATTACTGGTGGTAGGACCTCTTGTGAGTCCGCGCGGGTAGGTACCACCACACTGCCTATTTCTGCCGTGAAGCAGTAATGCGTTTCGGTTTGAAGGGTGGGGCAGCCGTTGTAACTATACTGAGACCTTAGAAATATCTCAAGATGGGTGGTGCGTTTACGTTGTATATGTCTATGGGCTCCAGTAACCACTTAACGCCATGTGGGCTGTGAGTTCGCACAACCATCTAAGCTATATAAAAAAAGACAACGAATAATTTCTAAATTTTCTAAATATCTACGTTGTGTTCATTCATAATATTTTCAGGAGCACAAGTTCGCTGAGCAGCACCAGCTCTGTGAAGCCGGGTATCAGCATTTCCGACCCGGATGACAGTTGCAAGAATGTCCGGCTAGACAGGTTGGTACTCGGCTGACAGACTTAGTTGTGCATCTGGCACTTCTTAGACTTAATATTGGAAGTCAGACATGATTACGATGTTTGCCTTCGATGGCAATCAAAAGTTATTTACAATTGAACCACATCAACGACTGTTTGTGCCGCTAAGCAAATAAGTAGGCTTATTGAGCAGTTGTACGGTCTGTGATCTCTATAAATCCAGTTGAGTCGTGACATGTGTTAAAAAAAAGGATTGTGTGGTTTTATAAAGCCACGGTGAAAGTGAAACTTTTCTTCACATTATAGACATTTAACTCTGACAAACAACATTTACATTAAGCACTGACAAAAACAAACAAAATAGCGTGGAGCACTGGCACAAATGAGTAATAGTAATAGTAATATAGGCGCCGGCATATTGGCCTTGGCTGCTCTGACAAGCGCCTTTCACTTTATCCCTACTCCGCGGCCGACCGTCACGCGACATGCAACACACAGATGAAAAAGTTTGAGACGTAGTAATAAAAGTTTCACTTTAAAAACCAAAACTTGTAGCTCATCATCAAGCGACGAAGAAGACGACGGGTCCTCCAGCGAGACCCAGGACGCGCAGTCGGAGCGCAGCCAGGACTCAGCACGGCTGCTGCACTGCCTCGCGCGGACCCTCACCCCGAGCCACAGCAAGAGCCTCAGCACCCCACACACTGGACAGAACATACAGGTCCACCCAGTCATGAAGAGCAGCTCCAACCCGGCAGTCGACAAGCAGGCCATGGGCATTAGCGCCGGTGAGTAAGCATTGCAAATGAACTATGTACTCATACTGTACTCACTATACTAATATTATAAATGTGAAAAATGTTCGGAAGTTGTTTGTAATTTAATCAATTAGCCTGAGCACTAAGTTTCTCGCCGGATCTTCTTAGCGGGTCGCGATTCCGATCCGGTAGTAGATTAATTCGCGAAGCAGTTGCTATTGAGTTGTTAAGTCTCATTTGGAGGCGCTTGAGCAGCTGTTAGCGAATCTCACCCCTCCTGGCTGAGCCTTTGCTCGCCCACCTGTCCTGGTGAAATTGAAAAGGCCTTTGGGCCACCAGTAATCCCTCATGGCTGATGCATGGGTTAGGTTGCACGTCGACCTCTTTGCCAAGTTCGACAAGTAGGACTACCGGGATCCGTAAGCCTGCTCCTAGTGTTGGCGCTGATGGTGTCTAGTGCAAGGGTTATTGGATCTGATGGATCCGTAAGGACGTGTCTAGGGCTTAGGGCTCCTTCGGTGGCGCTCGGCTAGTTGTTAGCAAATCCCACCCCTCCTGGCTGAGCCTTTGCTTGCCCACCTGTCCTGGTGAAACTGGAAAAGCCTTCGAGCCAAGAGTAATCTTTCCTTCATAAAAAAGGTCCCTGTCAACGCTGACGCTTACGACCGGTAGTGCCCTGAAAGAAAAAACTTCATTATAACCGTTGTGAAGATGTTTTTTTTAATACGTTAGATGTGTAAACGAGCTCAGGACTTATCTCGATGTTAAACTTTTACGTGTAGTCATCACAAGGCGCACGTCATCCATTCTGAATTGCACCGTCGAACTCTCAGTATATGATGCATAATAGATCTCCGACTCTTCAAACCTAGTCGTTCTGAACTACAACACATCCTGCAAGCAATAGCTGATTGGGATGCACTTACATTTGTGTTACTTTCAAAATTATCAGTTTTCAATATTGAATACTAATTCCCTTTGCAGTAGTAAATTTTAACTCTCAAGTAGAACTAACAGGGACATTCAAACTTTAAGCTACCAGAGCTTAAACGGTCCGTCATGAATGCTAAATTTGTCCGTAGTAAAGATGCTTTCCAAACATTTAACTTTTATTAGGTGACCTGGCAGACATCGTAGTGCCTCAATGGATAAATAAAAGACCTCAACTTTTGTATAAAAAAACTTAAAACAAACAAAAGGAATCCGTCCGACGGTTATTTTTATTTAATTCCGAGCATTTTCATATTTATTTACCTTTTAAACCTTCTCTGGACTTCCACAAATAATTCAAGACAAAAATTAGCCAAATCGATCCAGCCGTTCTCGAGTTTTAGCGAGACTAACGAACAGCAATTTATTTTTATATATCGACGCTTGAAAGGCAAAAGTGACTAAGCGACAATAGCTGCTTTGTACATAAATGATAGGCAATAACCATATTCGATGCGCAAAAAAAAATTATTTCTAGGTCTATTAAAATCATTTCAATCCTACAGCTACTACTACTACAGCTGGAGTCGTTAAAATAAATTTTGTTTTCAGGTATTTCAACTTTATATTAGTCTACTGTAAAGTTCACGCATTGTCGCTTAGTCACGTTTGTCTTTCAAGCGTCGATATATAGATTTCATGTTTCTGTTCTAAGTCGTTGAACTACAGAGCAATCTCAATTCTTCTTTTTAATCACATTTGAAACTGTCAGCACATTTAATTGTAGTATTAAAAACTTCATGCGTTCACCCCAAGCACTTGCTTTACGTAAGAAAATTGTATTTTTATATGTAATAGAAACCTAAGCAGTTTAGTCAGGACCTTTATTTATGCTGTATCTTTGTCCGTAATTCATACATTTATTAGACTTATTATAATAATTATTTGCTATTTAATTTATCACACTAACTATAATGTTTTGTGTAACTATATTTAATTGATTTATTTATATTTAGAAAAAATATAACCTATAATTTATGCATAATAGTAACAATATAAATAAAGAAATTAAACAAAAATAATGCAAAATATTTATGATTTATTATTATTATTTATACTATTTAAAAGTTAACCTCGTGTCTCATGGTGTGCTTTGTTTTCCCTAAACACCTAACACCTGCTAAACCGAGCGCTCTTTCATAATCCTAGTGATAATTAGATTTAAATCTAAAATTTTAAATTTAATATGCTGCCTATGTATTATATTTATTCTGTTAACTTTCTAATTTTAATCAATATTGTTTCCGAAGCTTGGACTGAAATGCTAATAATTTTTTTTAATATCTCTTCTAACACATTCTACCCTTTTCCATATGCAACTTAGTTCCAGGAAGATCGATATTCGGTAATACCTATATAATATCTGCATGTTTAATACGCTTAAATACGTAAAGCCGTTTTGTATAAAAATAGCGAGAAGAGAATAAAACAGAAATTAGCTAAACTGTATATTTTCCATCAGCATGCATGCTGTCACTTATTTAGGTTTATATGTCAAGTTTAAAAAACCTCAAAGTACTGATGTTTAAATACATTGAAAGTTACTTAGACCACTATAACATGCTTAATACGATGATGAGAAAGAATGATTACTGTTATGACTGTAATTGGCTTTAAATATTGCTTTTGATTGTTTGAACTGCTTAGATAAATAAAGCAGTGTGCGCATAGTTACTATGTATTGCTATGCTCTGTATATATGCATATTGAAACTCTAAAATACCGACAAAAACAATGGAAACATATTGGCAAATAAACACATGTTTAAAGCTACTTTTAGGGGCTAACCTCGCGTTTATTATTATTCGTTTTACAGTTCCTCGTAATTCTTTAAAGTTTTTGTCAAGTACAACTGACATATCATTTAAATGAGTGAAATTCGCTAATAATTTTAAAATAGTTTTAATCAAATCTTTAACAAAATAATGATATTCGAATTGGGTTTATTTGAAATTTCAACAGGGACTAGTGAGATGATATTTAATTAATGAATTTGGATTTATTTGTATATTCTCCTAACACACTCCAGGTACTCTATCATCTCCAGCCAGTCGTCAGTCTTCAGAAGACAATGCAACAACTGCTAACCAGCCCACAATGTGGCTGGGCACTGAGGATGGTTGCATCCACGTATACAATTGCATGGACAATATCAGAATCAAAAAGAATAAAGTCAAGTTGCAACACAATTCAGGGGTTCATTCCATAGTGTGAGTACTGTATTTTTGCTTATATTTAATATATAATATATGCTCACAATGCACATGTTGGTCAATGTTTACCCACAGACTTTTGACACACTAATTGATACAGCTAATCAAAGTCCGAAAGTATATTAAAATGTGGTAATTATGATATTATAAGCCATGGTCATGGTAAAGTGGCCAGAAAGTTCTTGAGTGGCGACCGCGTACACAAGATGGGCCGACGATCTATTGAGGTTCGCGGGGATCCGCTGGATGCAGGCAGCGCAGGACCGGTCTTTGTGGCGAGGCTTGTGGGAGGCCTATGTCCAGCAGTGGATGTCTGTGGGCGGTTCTCGACATAGCCTAAAGGATTGCAACGATAAAGAGCCAGTGTGCAAGCCGCATTGTTCGTACAATGGCTGGCCGCTGGGGCTGAAAAGCGCTAGAGTGGTGACCGCATACTGGAAGAAGTAGCGTAGGTAGGCCTCCCACAAGCTGTACTGATGACGTATTGAAGATCACGGGATCCCCTGTATGTAGGGAGCGCAGGATCGGTCGTAGTAGCGAGGGCCGAAAGATTAGTAAATAGAAATATGGTAATGTTAAATTTACCAAACTAAAAGGCTTTAAGCTAAGATTTCGGCGCCTGTATTATGAGTACCAGAAATAAATGTCAGGTCATATAGCTGTAGATATTTTATTAACGAGTTGACCAACAAACAATGAAACTCGATGATGATCCAAATTCAATACATTATATTAGAGCCAATACTGACTAAGGAGAATTGTGCGTACATAATAATATGTCCCATGAAACCAGAAGCTTGCGTAAATAATCCAATGAACAGTACAATTAAGAATTCGATCTCATGTTCTTGAACTCTGTCATAATTCAAATGGTCCGTATACATTTATAAAAGACTAGCCAGCCGTACTCGCCCACTTCACTGGGCATTTAAAATTAACATTATTATTTATTGTCATTATTATTAGGGAGTCCAACACTCATATAAATATTAGCCTATCCATTAAGTACATGTATTTTCTACATAGATACCAAGTTTCAAGTCAATCGGCTGAATAGTTCAGTAGTTATAACGGAACATCCGTAAAAACTACTGTAAATTTATATATTAGTATAGATAATTTTTGGAATAGCCATTTCTTATTTGCGTGTTTCAGATTCGTGGAGGGGAAAGTGTTTGTGGCGCTAGGAAATGGTGATCTCGTGGTGTATTGTCGGGATATTGGTAAGAGAGCCTAATTTAACTTGTGCTTTTAATTAGTGGTAGCTTTTAAATGGAGGTAACTTTTAACCTTTGGTACGGCCTCCTGTGATCCCGGACGGCTACGTGCCCACATCCTGCCTATTTCTAGCGTAAAGCATTAATCCCATCATTCTGAAGAGTTTCAAAGAGCAGCCTAAACTAAGACCTCAAAGCTATTTCTCAAGCTGGGTGGCAACACTTACGTTGTAGATGTCAACGGAATCCGATGACCAATTAACACCAAATAAAATGTGAATTCGGCCATCCATCTAAACAATAAATAATTAAAACATTCTTCGACGCTGTTGGATATTGTTAATTCGTAATTTGGTTTTGTTGAAAACACTTGCAACAATTGTGTCCAATTTCATCCCTTACCTCCATGCATCGACAAAGATTGCCGAAGCGTCGAAGCTAGACTATAATAGTCTTAAATCATTTTCATACGCGATTAGTTTCACGACCACCAAAAAACTATCTTCACCGCGACCGATAACACCACGATGCGTTAATAGTTCCAAAGTTAAATGCCTTATTTGTGTTCATCCGTATCTTCTAAAATCCGAATAGAACGCATAAGACCACCTGGACTACCCTTTCTTCTAGCTTCTAACGCTTAATATATTATTAAGTTTTATACCAAACGTCAAAAAAATAACGACAGCATTAGTATTCAACTTAGCAATACGTTAGCCTCAATCCTCGAAATTTAAGAAGCTTAATTTGCGTTGCGTATGGAAATATCTGAAGAAATATACTTTTTTTTTTGCTTAGATGGGTGGACGAGCTCACAGCCCACCTGGTGCTAAGTGGTTACTGGAGCCCATAGACATCTACAACGTAAATGCGCCACCCACCTTGAGATATAAGTTCTAAGGTCTCAGTATTGTTACAACGGCTGCTCCACCCTTCAAACCGAAACGCGGTACTGCTTCACGGCAGAAGTAGGTGGGGTGGTGGTACCTACCCGTGCGGACTTACAAGAGGTCCTACCACCAGTAAACTGCGTAAAATAAGAATTATCAAGCCCTGTATTTGAAACTCACTCGATATTTTATTATTATCATATGCGAATTAAGGATTCAATTATGATCATCAGATGGATCTTGGACTGAACGTAGCACCATCAGCGTTGGTACCGGCAGCACTCCGGTGAGCAGCATGTTGCTCTCGGGAGGGAAGCTTTGGTGCGCGACCCACGCCTCGATCAAGATCATCAATCCTCACACATTACAGGTCGGTCCAATCTATCCACTACACTCATTCTGTTTATCTCTACTGCGAAACAATCAATTAGCTCAACGATGCTACACAATTAAGTTTTCCATCTTTTTTTTATTAATTCAACTTCAAGACTTGTAAGAAATCAGTATCCATACTAACGTCTTTAAGCGGGGGCGGATTTAAACTTAATGCCGCTCCTGGGCACCGGAAAAAAATCCGCCCCAATACTAGAATTTTGCCTAAACTTATAGTTTATTTTTCAAAATTAAAATAACTAATTTATTGCAGAAACTTTATCATATTACGTCATATATTCCAAAAACATAAATAAATGTTTTTTTTTCTTCTAACAATTATAAATTTTGACTAAGGCCTACTCATAATTATATTACATAAAAAAAAAAACTAAATTTCTTTAATTACAGAAAATAGAAAAATCGATTATAATTTTAAATCTCCAAGAAAATAAATTGATGATTTACATTTTGATTATAAATTTTTACCAAAAGTGCCAAAATTATAATTCACAAATAATGGATGAATTAAATTTCTTGAATTATCAATTATAAAGAAAATTATTAATTATTAGAATTGATTAACTTTATTGAGCAATCTTGTTAAAACTAAAAAAAAATTGTTAATTTCAAAATTTTGCCGCCACCACCGTCTTTGAGTCTCAGTAATCTTTGAATTATCAGCAGTCGTTGAGGTCATCCATCCAACTTAACTGTTTAGTAACTATTAAGCCATGTGAACAGCGATATTCATCTACCGTCACATACAGGTCGTCCGTTCTGTTATCTATATATTAATACGTGAAGCAAAAAGTTTGTATCCCTTTTTACGAAAATTGCGCGGACGGAGGAGTATGAAATTTTCCACACTTATAGAGAATATAGAGAAGAAGTGCATAATGCTAATATTTTTTTAAAATAATGCATAAAAGATACATTAAATCAATAAAGAAAACATTACACACACTACGTACCATGTATATGACGCACACACGCATGCATATATTTATTGTCAAACTTTTGTTCTTGACGTCTGTGGTCAAATTGAGAATAGATTAAATATTGTTTGTCTTTGTTATTATTTTTTATAGTGTAGTCTAGGTGAAATTTGTGATTATAGAAGTATAAAATACAATCATAATAGTGTACAAACTTACAATTCCAATTAATTATAGTCGAATTTCGACTACTGCGGGACCTCTAGTATATTCTTAATGTACCTAAAAATGCAATGTAACGTGCACGACCTAATGCAGCTTAGTTAGGTTGCCGATAGATCACGCAGTTCGATTCCAACCGCGCTCCCGGTGACACTTGCCCCAATTAATTTCAATTGTTAATTTCAAATGTTTTAATTATTAGAATTAAATAAACTTCTTCTTTTTTTTATTGCAACCTTTTGAGTGATTAAATCAACTATGTATGTATTTCGGTTACAGGTGGACGAAACATTCCAAATAAGTTCAGAAACGAAGCCAATAAGCCACATGGCGGTCGCGGGCGTCACCATATGGCTCTCGCTGCACAACGCAGCGCAACTGCGCTGCTACAATACGAACACTCGCGAGCAGCTCGCCGAGATCAACATCACTCCGCAAGTCAGCAAGATGTTGCACGGTCAGTATTATAGTAGGGGAGCCCACGATGCTAAATGGGGATTTACTCGAGCCTCATAGAGACCTATCGGGTTGCGAAGCTTAGATGATAATAAGAAAAAAATGTCATATAATGTATACCTTTTCATCGGTGGGGTAAGCGGCTATACATCTTCAAATTGGTAAAAAAAAACTATTGCATGGACATACTCGAGCGCGTCAGATATTGAGAGAATAAACGTCCTACGTATTTTTAATAATGTATGTATGTTAATCTGATCGTTTGCATCTTGGGTGGGTGAGGTCGTAAGTAAGGTTTGAAAATGAAAAAAAAAAATTTAATCGAGTGCGTCAGATTTTCTTAGGGGGTCTTAAATGAACCTTAATTAAAGCTCTCATGCAATAATCTGATTTCGATGTGACGCAAACTCGCGGCCATTATTATATGAAAAAAATATCTCCATATTGAAATACTCAAGCGCGTCAGATTAAGATATATAATAGGGTTCATCTTTATGTCCTAGACGTGTCTCATAGTCTGACGATTATCTAGAGGGATTCGCCTAATCTGACATACAAAAATCGTTATTTAAATTATTGACCTTCATTAATTGAAAAAAAGCTCAGGAAATAGCGTGCAAACAAAAAAGTTTGTTGCAAGAAAATAATTTAAAAAAACATTCTTAAAAAAACGTGGAGAGGGGAATATAGACATTACGCAACTGCACGCATTCAACTTTGTCGACGAATTTTTGTTATTTTGGCTTGTGCAAATCGTCAGGTTATATATATTTTTGTTACCCTTGAATTATTTCCTTCAAAATAGAAAAAAAATTGAGTCACGCTCGAGAATGTCCAGATGACGTTTTTTTTCTACAACTCTGTAGCCCTACCCTTTTCTTTACGTCACTTTCAAATTGTCAGATTAGTGGAATATACACTTTTTAGCATGTAATTAACTCACCCTATCTTAATCTGACGCGCTCGAGAATTTCTGGTGATCAATTTTTTTTTACTAGTCTGATCCTTTAATCTGAACGCGCGGCCTTATTTATGAGGTTCATATTTGGTGGAGGTGCTTAACCGGGTACAAGGTATCCCTCTGTACATTGATCTGCCGCGCCTTAGTAAATCCCGAAATCCCCGCTTGGATTCCCCGACTATTAGGGATCCACAGCCTTCTGAAAGCTTTTTACAAATTAAGATTTCAGGAATTTCGGGAATGTTTGATTACCGGTCGTCTGTTGATAATTAAATGTGTACTTGTAGGCTGCGATGACATAATACGTCAGCACAAGGCGGCGTGTCTCCGCGTGACGGCGCTGCTCGCTCACCGGGACATGCTCTGGGTGGGCACCAGCGCCGGCGTGCTGCTGACCGCGCCACTACTGAATGCACCCAACGCGCGGACCGGAGTCTTCACTGTTCCACAACTGACAGGTACGAAAAGAACTATTGTTATCTATACTAATATTATAAAGAGGAAAGATTTGCTGGTTTGCTTGTATTGAATAAGCCGGACGGCTGACGATCTCCAACACGATGGACCGACCTCATAAAATCTGTGACTCACTCCAACATAAACGATTGCTCTCACTCTGCGAAACACCGTACCACATGGCGTCGCATCGCGAGAGCATCGGTATCGCAGGATCCGACTGGTGCCTGACCACGACCTCTGTCAAGAGTGTACGAATAGGAAGAATTGAATAGGCTCCGAACCTACTGAATCGATTTGAAAAATTATTTCACTGTTTGGAAGCTACACTATTCCCAAGTGAGATAGGCTATAATCTTTTTTGAAAAAAATTTGGGATCCTTACTAAAACTCCAATAATGTAAACCAAGGCGTAAAGAAATTACTTAAAATATTTTTTACATCGCGTGCCCTGCGAAAACTATTTATGATAGAATAAAATAATGTACTACGACTTTGTTGAACACATTATTATTTACAATAAGTGTTGTGACAGCACATGTCTAACTATTATAATTATGCCGCAATAAGTGTTCTTTTATTTAAAAAAATAAAACAACTTCAAATATCGTTGACATTTTTGTTAAAGACCCGAGCGGAGCCGGAGCGGGCCGCTTGTTATCTATATTACTGGTGGTAGGACGTCTTGTAAGTCCGCACGGGTAGGTACCATCATCCTGCCTATTTTTGCCGTGAAGCAGTAATGCGTTTCGGTTTGAAGGGCGGGGCAGCCGTATTAATTATACTGCGACCTTAGAGCTTATATCTCAAGGTGGGTGGCGGCATTTATGTTCTAGACTTCTATGGGCCCCGGTAGCCACTTAACATCAGGTGGGCTGTGATATATGACCAAGTATCTCGATATAGATTTCACTGTCTAATGCACAAATTAGAATTGTCTATCAAAAAACAAATTCAATAGACTTTAAGCAGTTATAATTGTTACAGGCGTCACCTACGGCCACACAGGGCACGTAAGGTTTTTGACGATAGTCGAAAATCCGGTATCGACGAAGCAGCCGCCAAAGTCCACGCAGACCTCATTAAAGACGAAAGCGTTGAGCCGACGCTCGGCCAACGCGGAGAAGCTCCAGAAACAAGCTGAAACCGGTCAAACCAACAAGGAGACCCTCGTTATCTCCGGAGGGGACGGCTACGAAGATTTCAGGAGTTCGACGATGACCGAGGATGCCGGGAGGGAGGACTCTACCAACCATCTCCTTCTCTGGAGGGTCTGAACGAATTTCACGGCCTACAGGGTTCTGTAATGACGCGACGCAGAGAAACGCTGAGAGATTTGACAGTCGAATGTCCGGTGCGCAATTCTATTAAACAAACCCGCGCGACCGCTTCGAGGAATCAGATTTTTTTTTCCTACCTAATCTGATAGCCTTGAGAGGCTATTTCATCGTAACCTTAACTAGTAGGTGAGCTGACGGGGCTCAAACCGGAGTGTTGCAAACATTGGCCCTAGCAAGAGTAGTGCTTCGCAGAATCTACCGCCGGATCGGAAACGCGACCCACTGAGAAGATTCAGCGAGAAACTCAGTGGGCTATGTCTATGGGTTAATTTACTCGTCGAGCCCTTCGTCACAAGCGACGGGTTCGATGAGGACGGTGACCGGTGCTTGAAGTACCTAAAAGCACCGTTAATGGATCGGGAGGATTCGTAATGACGTGGTTTGGGCGACATCGACTGTTTACCATTCGGTCTACAGGATCGGGTAGGAATCAGCGCTGTTGCACTTTCGACACGGTTTTTGTTTGGACGCGGCGGCGCACGCTATGTCGTGTTTAGCAGAATTGCGCGTCCGGCGTCACGGCTGCAAGTAAAGGAGCCTAACTTATAACTTAACTGTGTTTTCGTTGATGAATGTTTAGTATTCCAGCTTCTGAGTGTCGATGTGTACGCTAATTTAAAATTGTTGTATTAAATATAAATGAGTGTTGCGCTTAAACGCGTAACTGAGATTATTAAAAGTTAGTTAAGGCATTAAATGTCATATTTTATCACTATCAGAATTTGTTGAAAGGAAATCTGAACATCGTGCAGTATTATTATTAATGAAAAATTTTAAATCGTTTATCATTGCGGCCCAAGTTCGGCCGGTTACGTATCTTAGACGTTTATAGTATTCAAAATGTTTTTAGAGTCGTTTACATGTCTATTCATATCAAAGGCATAGAGTTTTGTGTCTATAATGTAATTAAATGTGAAATCGTAGTATTATAACAGGAGTATTGAAATAAAGAAAATTTATTTACCTAAAGTGTTTGTTAGGTAACTGAAATTGTTCGCTAATTTCGTCTTAATATAGCTTCGATTTGGCGATGGAAGTCGGTGTTTAGAAGCTTAACATTTCCAATTTCCGCTGTAAATTCAAAGGGCTCTAATTAAATTTTTCCGTCGTATCGAAATAGTTGAAGTTGTTGAAGTTCAATTCGCCAGATAGCGTATCGAGGTGAGCAGTCAAAAACTGTTCGAAACACGACCGTAAGCCGTGAGGCAACTTAAAAACTTAGATATAGAACGTAGGTGTATAAAAATTATTCAAAATCTGTGTATCCTATGTGAACATTTACTAGAGAAAACCGTCATTGTGATTGCTCAAGAAATAATAAACGTTACCTGATCCGACATATTGGTTAGAGCTAATCATTGAATAAAGTGGTTTTTAATAGTGTATGTAGCCTGTTACACGTTATGTCTAATGAAACAGAATAAATAAATGATCACACTAACATGGCCTGAGTTTTATTTCCAAAACTGCTTGCAATGCATCGCGACAAATCAAATAATCCCAGAATCAATTTCTACTTGGCACGATCAAATCACTAAAATGAGTATTCTCTTAGGTTTTCGAGACTTTTTAGTGAGAGCTAAAATCATTTGAGCCTTATGCTTTCGATTTGACAGCTATTGGCATTTCAAATATAAGTTTCACTGATGATATGACAATAGACGACAGATGATTTCGTGAAAGTAACCATTTAAAGTACTTTAATGCTGAGTTTTTACCTTTATATATGTATTTATATACGAAATTGATTATACTGTCAATGCTTACTACAAAAAACATCAATATCATGAATACAGCTCGAATTAAAATTCCCATATTATTTCCGAAGTTTCGGATGTTTTATGACGGCGTGGTGAGTAGAAATATTACAGACTAGCGGCCCGCTCCGGCTCCGCTCGGGTCTTTAACAAAAATTTCAACGATATTTGACGTTGTTTTATTTTTTAAAATAAAAGAACATTTATAGCGGCACAACTATAATAGTTAGACAAATGCTGTCACGACGCTTTTTATAAATGATAATGTATTCTACAAATTCGTAGTACATTGTTTTATTCTAGCATCAATAGTTTTCGCAGGGCACGCGATGTAAAGAATATTTTAGGATTTTTTTTTACACCATTTGGTTACATTATTGGAGTTTTAATAAGGATTCCTAATTTTTTTCAAAAAAGATAATAGCCTATATCACTCGGGAATAGTGTAGCTTCCAAACAGTGAAAGAATTTTTCAAATCGGTACAGTACTTTCGGAGCCTATTCAATACAAACAAACAAACAAACAAATCTTTCCTCTTTATAATATTAAGTATATATTAAACAGTAAAAGTAGTTTGAATTATACAGGCTGACTGGTTGAACACTTTACATACTCAATAACTCAACTGAACAAGGACATTTACTGGTGATAGGACCTCTTGTGAGTCCACGCGGATAGGTACCACAACCCTGCCTATTTCTGCCGTGAAGCAGTAATGCGTTTCGGTTTGAAGGGTGGGGCAGCCGTTGTAACTATACTTGAGACCTTAGAACTTATATCTCAAGGTGGGTGGCGCATTTACGTTGTGGATGTCTATGGGCTCCAGTCATCCTGTTTATAAGACTGTTAAAAACCGACGAAAATATTATAAATATTTAATAGCAGAGAAATCATTATATGTCACAATGTGCACGCTACCACCCGCTTTGAGACATGAGGTTTGAGTCTCAACTGTGTAGGATGACGACAGTGCTACTAATGTTTGCTGTCAACTCAATTCTATGAAATAAGCAGAGTCCGAGCTTAGATGATCGCTACATCCAATAATTGCCGGTAGGCAGCGGCTTGGCTCTGCCCTTGGCATTGCTGAAGTCCATAGGCGACGGTAACCACTCACCATCAGGTGGGCCGTATGCTCGTCTGCCTATAAAGGCAATAAAAAAATAATTACGGAAATTATAAAATTTACGAGCTTTCATTAGCCAATGCAAGTCTTTTATAGTTCAAATCATTCGTAAATATGTCATTGTGTGAAAAGAAACTAATAGATTTCGTAATAAGCAAAGTATCAAGTATATTTTTCTACAAATTGATCTCGGGACTGTATTAAACTATACTACTACATGCAACAAATTTTATTGCAAAGGCTTAATATTTTCTAGGATTTCTAATATATAGATCACGTGGCATACATTCCCGAGAATTCATTATTAGCGGTCTGCGCAATTGTTTAATTGAAGAATTATCAAACCAAGTTTTTCTTTCCATGTTTAACGGCCGTCTGGTGTAGTGGTAAGTGACATGGTCACTACACAAGGGGGTCGCGGGTCCGAATCCCGCCAAGGGGAGATATTTGTATGATAAATATAAATGTCTTTTCCAGGGTTATGGATGTATATTAAATATATGTATGTGCATAATAAAAATCTTACATTTATTTCCGTTATCTGGTACCTGTAACACAAGTTCTTTACGAACTTATCACGGGACCAGTTAAAGTGGCGTGATTGTTAGTAAAAAAAAAAAAATTATATTCTCTAATAGCCTATGGAGCCATTCCAGCCACACTAAGTTTATTAGGTGTACACATAGGGCTAAATATGAGAGAATTGCTACAGCCGACCCAAGCAAGAGCAGTGGTTCGCAGAATCTAGTACTGGATTGGAATCGCGACCCACTGAGAAGATCCGTCGAGAAACTCAGTTGCTGTCTATAGGCTAGTTTGCTCGTCGAACTCTTGGTCATAATCGACGAGCTCAACAAGGACAGAGACCCAACTAAATGCCTCCAGAGTGAAGAAGGCTTTACATATTAATTACTGGCTGTAAATTAACACGACCACCAATAGACGAGAAAAGCTCGCCTAGCTGCGATGAATTTAAGTTTAACTTTAATTTTAAACCAAACCAAACAGGGTAAAATATACAAACAAACAGGAATCTTTAAATGGAAATGAAGACAAAATGCAGTTCAACAATTTATTATTTATTGACCAGGATTCAAATATTCTAATAGCATTATGTATTTAATTACTTACTAACAAGAATAATCAGGAATAAAATACATTTTTTATTATTATTAAATCTAATCTAACATTGGATTAAGAACATTTTTCGGCAATACTGTCAATGAATTCATTTAGATGATTACCTTCGTCTGCAGAGCTCTTCTTACCTCTACTGGCAAAATACGGATCATTTTGCAATTGAGCTGCCAGTTTCTTCAAAATAGTTCGTCTATCCCTTTCGCTGTCAGTAATATCTCTTTTTACTACGTCACCGTTGTTTTTTTTAAGCACCATATCAATCGCAGTACAGACTAGTTCTTTGATTTTCGAATATTGGTTACGTTGTGTTGAATTTTCATTAGTAAGATCCTTTTTTCCACGCGCTATGTAATAAGGGTCGTTCCGGACAGATTTTACTATCTCTTCAATAGCGCCTCGTCTGTCTCTACCAGGTCGTCCTAAGTTATATTTCAGATAATATTTTTTACCGCGTGATATGTAGAAGGGGTCGTCTTCTGCAGATGATCTGCTGTTTCTTTCCAATAAGATATAATGAGGTTCGTCTGCGTATATTCGGCTATCCGATAAAGTTTCAGCATTTGAAGGATTAACTGTATTTACGGTACTGCCTCCAGCGTTCGATACATATGCTTTATTGTTCGAGTTTCTGTTGAACAGATGTTTTAATTTACTGTCTCGACCTCGATTTAACCAAAAATTTAAGCCAGCGCCCGGACTCCGTCGTAATCTTGAAAGAGTTTTTACGTCCTTCTCAACGTCGTTGATAGCATTTAAAATGGATTGTTTTAAATTTTCTTTTTTGTGGTCTTTAATAAATTCCATATCTTTTCGCCGGCCACGGCTACCCCAAAAAGGATCAACATCAGTGTTACTATCTCGGTTTGCTCGGTCTTCAAGCTGATCAAGTCTTCGACCACGATTAGCCCAAAATGGATTTTCTTCCGTTTTACCTTTGCTGCTCCAAAAAGCCTCTTCTTTCTTTCCTCTGTTTCCCCAAAAAGGGTCATTTTCTTGTCTAAGGTCTCTTTCCCATGACGGCTCAAGCATGAAACTTCTATCAAAGTCTAATGGATTGCGTCTGCCGCGATTGGCCCAGAAATTAGCTGGATGCTTCAAATCTGGTTCATTCCATAAACCAATTTTTGTTACATGGTCATAATTTTGCTGTAAATCATGTCTATCACTTTCGAGACTATGAGGTTCAGTATAGATTTCTGATGAAGAACTATCTCTTCGCCCACGTATAGCCCAAAATGGTGGTTCGTTATGAATTTTTCCATATATAGGAGCGTCTTCAATATTTTGAAGCGAATCCTCACTATTGAAATATTTTGGACGAACGATTTCTTTATTTGTCCAAAACTGTACTGTACCAAAATCGTTAGTAGACCGTTTTATTCTTTCACTTTCAAATTTAGTTTTTGTGTTATTATGTTTCTTATTCTGCTGATGTGTTCTAAGATTCTTCTTGTTATAGTTTCCTTTTCCGAATGTTAAGTCCGACGTAATTAATATCAAAAACAGTACAATCAATTGAATCGTTTTATTTTTCATCTTTTTTTTTAAATCTAAGAAAAAAAAACAAAGATCAGTTAATGAACAAAAACTATACTAATGAGGAACACGATTTAATATAGCATATTTAATTAAACTCACGTTTGGTAACTGTGTTTGAATCAATACATGCTTCCCCACAATGTCAGTAACGGTCTCTCCAAGTCAGCTTTGCGTCTGAGAAATAAAGGGTAGGCCGCATCCTTTATAAAGGAACAACCCACTTCTCCAGGGGCTGCACGTAATGTGTTATTTTTTTGTGGTTGACATTCACTGCTCTGGGGACTGACCGTTATTAAATTAAAACAATGCTAGTTGGGTATTGCTTTGGACTTCTGGTGCGCTGCCTAGATAAGGTGCAGTTTTTCTTATTCATACGATTTATTTATTTCATTCAATCGATTTGAAAGTGTGAATATTTGTCACGATTCCAGAATGTATGGAATAACAAAAAAACGAAATTAATTTGATTTCTTCAAGATGCGTTTTTGGCAACGGAACTCTAGCATTTTAAAAACAAAAAGTGAGAATTTTCTTTATCAGGTTTCATTTATGTTTGTTTTTCTTTGAATACTGATAAGATTATGTGTGTGGTTTATGACCCGAAACTATGTTCCAAATAATATTTTTTCCACATTTTCTTATTTACATCTCAGTGCAGTTTTTTAATGTTTTTTCGAATCATCCTTTATTTAATAAAAACATAGGCCCAGTTTAAATTTGTGCTTACTTTTATGATCTGCAGTATCTGTTTTCAAGGTCTTAGCTAGAAATTTATACAAATTTTGATTTGTTCACTCTATTCAGTTTTTGAAAATGTCTGTTAAAGTATTACGTCCATTTTCATTCATACATACCAACTTATATTTGAATTGTTGTCTGGGCGTTCTTAAGCCATTCGATCCTATTGTTATAAAACTCGGTACAGTTGTTGTTAGTATTTTAGAAAAGGTTTCTATTACGACACCAATAGAACCACATGTAACAGAGTCTAGGTCATACATTTAGCAATAATCTTAACAAAACTGTCACTCTTAGAAGAGCAACCCGGTCGACGGTGTATCGTGTCCGACCTGGCAGGTGATTTCTGACCCAGCGAGGTATCCCGGGACCGCAGCGGCACGGCCTGGGCTCGTTCAGAGCCTACAAAAGAATATGATGTTCAAAGATCTGTCAAGTTGGTTCTAAGACACACATTTGACAGCCCTATTATGTTCTGCATAATAATATACAGTTACATAGATGTTCCACTGAATATTTGATTTATAACATGCATAATAAAGGCAATATCCGAAGATCAAGAGTGATTTTTTGTCTATAAATATACATCTTTTAGGATGGACGTACACATCACAAATAGGTCATTGTAATATTAATATGAAAAATATCGCTTAAAATCATAAAATAGATATTGAAGTACATATTGCTTAGAAGGGACGTGCAGAACGTACCTACGTATTTTAGCCTTTCAGAACTAATTCTGATATTTGCCATAAGCACATCCCACTGAGTTTCTTGCCGGATCTTCTCAGTGACTCAGTGCCTATTTCTGCCGTGAAGCAGTAATGCGTTTCGGTTTGAAGGGTAGGGCAGCCGTTGTAACTATACTTGAGACCTTAGAACTTATATCTCAAGATGGGTGGCACATTTACGTTGTAGATGTCTATGGGCTCCAGTAACCACTTAACACCAGGTGGGCTGTGAGCCCGTCCACCCATATAAGCAAAAAAAAAAGTGAATCACGATTCCGATCCGGTGGTAGATTCTGCGAAGCACGAATCTGGCTAGGGTTAGTGTTAACCAAATCTCTGGTTGAGCCGATGAGCTGTTCTACTCGTCCGCGTCTAACTGTAATACTTTTCTTAGGCTACCGAATTATCGAATGGGTGAGACAAAAATGATATTGTAACACAACGAAGTTGAAACCTTAGTAAGACCTATAACATATACGAATAGTCATGCAACCGATTGCGAATTTCAGCTAAAACCATCATACTAGGATGCTGCCTATTTATGCAGCGAAGCAGTCACGCATTCTGATTTGAAGTAAGGCACAACCGTCACACAGTAAATACAGTTGAGTCTCTGAAGTCAATTTCTATGGACTCCTGTGGATACCCAATGAGTCGTGATATCATTTTTCCATCTTTGCAATAAGAATTAAAATCCTTTTGTCTCTGATTGATCTCTGATCTTTGAGATTAGTAACAGATGGCCTCCCTTCCTTCATTTCCACGTCTTCCAAGAAGCTGGAATCGGTTCCATAATTTTATGAAGCATCAATCACTTTGGCATTGAACAATGGCTTGGGAGCTTTCAAATTTTACTTTGAAAATCAAATTAATTCTCGAATGGTTTTTTTTTGTAAGATAAATACAACGGATATTATACATAATCTAAAAAGTAATAATATATATGTATGTACTAGTGTGTGCTCGAAGTCCCTACATTTGTCCCATTGTTCACTTCTACCGCGTTTTTTCGAATATAATAAAACCAAAAAAGCCTATTTCGAAAATCGAAAATGAAAATTATCCTAGAAAAGTCCCGTTAAATAGAGAAAAACCAATGTATTTATAGAATTTAGTCTGTGTGTAATGAGATAAAAACACTTTTGAAGTTTTCATTTCTACACACATATTTTTCATAGCGTTTCAAAAATCGTTTCTCAAAGGAATTTGGAAGCTTACGTACATACTTACAGTTTACTATTACTCTCTGCCTCATAAGCATTACACGGTTTTGTTGAAACCAAGCCTGATATTATAGTAGTAAAATGTCCTTTAGCTGTTAGGGACACTTCCAAGGTCAAGGTCCTTGAGAGAACCAAAAAAGTCTAGAAATGTGGATGTTTGCCAACCATTTGGAACAGTCGAAAATATAAACACAGAATGAATTGGATAAAGTTTCAGCTCTCATGTGTCCTACTAACATTGATAGCTAAGTTTTATCTTTCCATATATAATTGTCTAGAGACAGACAGAGAATCTACAGAATAAACTGCTTCTTCTTTAACCGTAACACTCTTGATAGAGTGGTTGTGGTCATCACTTCAATTGTTGGTGCCAAGTTTCACAACACGCCGCCACTCTTGTCTGAGGTGGCTATTGAGTGACTTGCGGTCCAGGGAAAGGTTAAGGGTGCCAGGCCACAAGGAAGATCGGCTATGAGGTGGACTGGTTAGCTATAAGCAGCGGTAAATGGCTCATCATCGCTACATGAAACTGTTAGAAAAGTTAAAAAACTGCCTAAAATGCCAGCTAACTTTATTTAATACAGTTTCTGAAAAATAGAACCTTCATCTTAACGCTTAAGAACAAGACGTTCGTTTCTCGTTGCCTTGATTACATTGGACATAAACAGCTGTGGGGGGAGGCACGGGATGATTGGACTTTGTGTAAAATAATTTTTAATTTTGCTTAATTTCTGTTCATTTATTAACTACTAGCGGCCAGCTCCGGCTCCGCTCGGGTCTTTAACAAAAATTTCAACGATATTTGACGTTATTTTATTTTTTTAAATAAAAGAACACTTATTGCGGCATAACTATAATAGTTAGACATATGCTGTCGCGACACTTTTTGTAAATAATAATGTGTTCTACAAAGTCGTAGTACATTATTTTATTCTATCATGAATAGTTTTCGCAGGACACGCGATGTAAAGAATATTTTAGGTAATTTTTTACACCTCGGGTTACATTATTGGAGTTTTAGTGATTTTTTTCAAAAAAGTTATAGCCTATGTCACTTGGGAATAGTGTAGCTTCCAAACAGTGAAAGAATTTTTCAAATAGGTACAGTAGTTTCGGAGCCTATTCAATACAAACAAACAAATCTTTCCTCTTTATAATATTAGTATAGAAGTATAGATTTTGTCCAATCCTACCGATTATCCGATTTTCAAACTGAAACACAATATTAGTATGCCAAATTTTGTTGCAGTTATGCGTGATTGATATTTAATGACTATTTAATTATAACAACAATTTTTTATTCTAGGAATTTCAAGAGATTAATTTTAAGGGATTTCACTGTTGTGATTTTAATGTAACTATAATAAATTTGTCGAAAAAACTGTTGATTTTTTGTGACTTGAGATCTCATTAACATCTACTTTTAATTAGAGAAGCGTCGCAAAAAAAAATTCGTATTTTCAATTTAACTACTGCTATTAATTTTCATTTTCTAAAGCAATAAATAACCCTTGTTGAAATTCAAATGTCAATATTCCATAAGTATTATTTTAATGAATTCCGATTTTAAAGGAAGCTATTACATATTTACATATTGTTTTTATTGGCTATCTGAAGCGGGTCTAAGAATGAAGTGCGATTTTCAAATCGACCAACTTCCATCCAAAAGTGTATACAGATATTTTACAGCTTATACCTTTAACGAGCAATTATTATATAATCTGAATCTCGGAAACGGCTCCAACGATTTTCATAAAATTTAGTATACAGTGGATTTCGGGGGCGATAAATCGATCTAGCTACGATTTATTTTCAGAAAATGTTGTTTTATTCGTGTTTTCAATAATCAACTCTTTCCGACATCTATTGGCGAATAATACTATTTTTCTTAATTGAGGGCAGCTAACCGCTTTAAAGACACAACAAGATGGCGTTATCAAAAAAAAAACCGGTCATCATCTGATTCTAGTGTATATGTAAACAATGTTATTATCACAGCATATTTTAAAATGATGGCAGCCGAGGCTATGCTTCAACGGAACTAAACTTCTCTACTGCCCCCGATGCCAAAAAAAAATACATTTTCTTTCCACATTTTAATCATTGTACAAAAGACCTGGGTCTACCTACACACAACACCAGCGTGCCTACAATAATAAGATTGCCCGTGTTCACATTACTCGCTCCGGTAAATATTGCTCCAGGCGAAAGTATAAATAGTTGACTTTTCTATTTCTAAGGACCATTCGCATTCACACCGTCCTTCAGAAGAGAGACTCATTTTTACCAGGGAAAATGAAAATAT